TGCGTGTGTGTGCGTGTGCGCGCGTGTGTGTGTGTGTGTGTGTGTGTGTGTGGCTCGTGTGTCTGTAGCTGGACACTGATGACCTTTTGGATGGCTCAGTTGACCCCTCCAGTTCCTTCTTCTCCACTGTTGGGGTGAGTGCCCCCCTCCCCCACCCCCTTGACCGCCCTACCTCCCTTCACGTCAGCTACATGGCTTGCCCTGTGCATCCTAACCCTAACCCCCCACAGTGGTTCCGCCTTGAGTGTCCTCCTGTTACATAATCCAACAACTTATGCCAAATGTTTTCTGTCTTATACCTTTTATACTTGTGGTGGTTTCTGTGCATGCTGGACTCATTTCCCCGGTTCCTGTCCAACCCCTCCCCCCCCCCATTTCATCCTCCCTCCCCCCTCCCTTAGGGCCATGTTCCGGAGGTCCAACCCCCCAGTCAGCTGTCAGCGAGTGAGCCCTCAGGGCTCCCCAGCAACAGCGTGGACCTGGACTTCCTCGAGGATGATGACATCCTGGGGGGCTCGCCGAGTGCAGGTGGCGGGAACAACGGCTTCGGGGGCGACCATGAGCCGTGTGACATCCTACAGCAGAGCCTGGCCGAGGCCAACATCACGGAGCAGAGTCTGCAGGAGGCCGAGCTGGACCTGGGCTCCTTTGAGCTGACTGGCCTGTCGCAGGTTATGCCAACTCTGGCCGACCCCAGCAGCCTGGCCGTGACCGCGGAACCTGCTGTCGGGGTCGGTATCAGCGTCGGGGTTGGAGGCCAGGCCCAGATCTTCCCCGGGTCGGCGGCTGGCTCGGCGGTGCAGACTGGCGCGGACGTGCTGGGCTCGGTCCTGGCTCATCCTGGTCTGCAGCTACAGCCCCAGGTGGTAAACAAGGCCATCAGCGTCCAGCCCTTCGTGCAGCAGGTGGGCCTGGGAAATGTCACCTTACAGCCCATCTCTGGCCTGCAGGCCCTGCCCAACGGGAGCCCCTCCGGGCATCTGGGCATCGGGCAGATCCAGGTGCTCGGCCAGCCTACGGTCATGACCATCAACCAGCCCATGCAGCCCATCCTGGCTAAAACGGTCGGTGGCTACCAGCTGCACCAGTCTGGCACAGAGATCGGGGTGGCCGGCGCTCCAACTGGACTGGGTGGGCAAGTCCTGGGCTCGACGGGGGGGCTCCTGATCCAAGGAGGGAAGTCGGCTGCGGAGTCCCCGGCACTGAATGGGGCCGCCGTCACCGTGACTGCCGCTGGTGGGAATGGCACCGCTGTGAGCACCTCTGCCGGACTTGTGGGCTTCGGTGGGTCCCCGGCAGGTACGTGCGTCGGAGCCCAGCCTCCGGGCCAGATCATGCAGAACTTGATCATCCAGCGCACGCCGACGCCCATTCAGCCCAAGCCGCCACAGGGGGGCGCTCTCCAGCCCAAACTGTTCAAACAGCCGCACCAGCAGCAGGTGCTCCCCGCCGGCCATGCCGTCCAGACTGATGCTAAGGTCATGGGGGTCCAGCAGGGGTCCGTCCCAGTTTCCTCTGCTCAGAATGTGGCTTTCCTGGCTGGCAAAGCAGGTGCCAACGTGGTCTTGGGCACAACGGCGCCCACCCAGGGCACGCCCTACTCCCAGGCGCTGTTCAAGCAGCAGGCTCTGCAGGCGGCGGGGAAACCAGTCAGCGTGCACCTGCTGAACCAGTCCGGGAGCATCGTCATCCCATCTCAGACCCTCCTACAGGGACAGAACTCCCAGTTCCTCGTGCCCCAGCTGCAGGCTGGGGGTCAGATCCTGACCCAGCATGCAGGGGGACACATCCTTACCAGCCAGGGCCCTGGAGGTCAGCTGATCGCGAATCAGATTCTCACCACCAATCAGAACCTGAATCTGGGCCAGGTTCTGACGCAGCAGGGACAGCCTGCTCACATCATCTCTGGGTCCATCCAGCTGCAGCCTGGTCAGGTGACCCAGCCCACGCTCTTCCAGATGCCCGTCACCTTGGGCCAGGCCCAGGCCCAAGCCCCAGGGCACACCCAGGCGGTCATCCAGGGCATGCCCATTCAGAGCCCTCTGACCATGCTGGGCCAAATGGAGGGCCTGGGTCCGGCTGTCAGCCTGCAGGCCCCTCCCCAGCATCCGACCTGCGGCCTTCTAGGAACCAGCGGGGTCACATCATGTCAGTCGGGGGAGGGCGTGACGGTCCTAGGTAGCTCCTTGGACCAGGCTTCAAATCCAGCGCAGGCCCCACCCCCGGTCCTTACAGTACAGACCGGACATCCGGTAACCGCGTCCTCAGTGGTCCCCTCGTCGTCGCCATCAGCCTCTTCCTGCTCCTTGTCCCTGTCTTCCCTACCCCCTGGTGGTATGACCCCGCTGCCAGCCCAGTTCCTCGCTCCCCAGGGCTCCAGCATGATCCTGAGCCAAGAATCCCTGCAAATGTTCCTGCAACAGGTCAGTAACTCCACCCCCGCACTCCGGTGTCACTCATTCGTTGATTCCACAGGAAGTCGTTCTGAGCCTCAGCCATTCCGCTTCAGAATAAAAGCCTTGAATGACTCGCGTCCGGAACATTATTATTCACTACTGTTTTGCTCTCCCCCAATGGTAAAACAAACATGCCCCTGTCAGGATGAGCAGCAGGAAAGCGAGACTACCCTGGTCCCATCAGGGTGTGAGCTCGTGTCCGCCATCGTGAGTGCCAGCGGTCCGCCTCCTGCGGCCAGTGATGGTTTGTCAGCTGAGGCCTGGCCTGGCCAGAGCCCCGCCCACTCACTCGGCCCCGCCCACAGTGAAATGGCAGTTAACCAGGTAGAGGTTTCCTCCCCATGGCCTCGCCCACTTGCCACTACCGCTGCTAATTTGCAGAAGTCCTGCTGTCCGGTATCACGTCTGCTTGCTTCTGCTGCTCCCTCACAGAGTGTGTACTATGCAGTAGTGAATATTCTGTCAGAATCAGGGTGAGTAATTGTTATTGTACTGGGAGGAATTCTGCCTTCACCTGGATTCTTTCTGCCTGTCTAAAAAAAAATGTGGCCAGAATGTTGAGAAGCCAGTCCGTCGGCGCACGAGGGCAGGACGTCCTGGACGGTGCTTTGCTGAATTATACCTATATCTCTGTGTCACTGCTTTGCCCTTCTTCCCTGGAGTGGCTCATGTTCCATACCCCCCTCTGAGGCGCTATGCTGTCTGCAGGCGATTCCTCAGCATCCCCCCCCCTCCCCCGACACTGTCACCCAGTGCTTTGTGTTCAGCTCCCCCTCTGGGGACGTTGGTGGCATGAATGTGTGACTTTGCGCTCGCGTCTCGTTCTGCTATCTTCTGCCGTCGCTCTTGTGGTCTTAGTGATTGCAGCTGGGCTGCAGGACCAAAAGGCGCTGTTTGCTTCAGGTCTGTGGTGACTGTGGTCACATGACCGATCATGTGACCGTCTGTCTCCCTCCCCCCCGTGTTCTTCAGCTCCCCTCTGCCGGGCCCCAGCAGCAGCTGAAAATCCAGAGCGCCTCCCCCTCCCCAGTGGTGGCCACCCACCCCACGCCGCCCTCGCTTTCGGAAAGCCCGCAGGCGTCCCAGGCCTCCCCGCTCATCCTGGGCCAGCAGGTCCAGTCGCCTCACCAGCAGCCTCCATCCCAGCCGCCGTCGCGCTCCTGCACGCCTTCGTCGCTGCCCTCCCTCTTCATCATCCATAACCAGCCTGCCGGCTCGCCCCACGGCCAGGCCCCAGCGGTCGCCCCCACCCAGCCTGTGTCCTTCCCACAGGACACGCCCCCGTCGTCCTGCTCTCCCAAACCCCCCCAGGTCACCCCTGTGCAGTATCAGCTGGTGCCCCCACCAACAAGCTCCTCCCTGGGCCCGGGCCTGACCTCTGAGCAGCAGCAGACTCTACACCTGATTGGCGCTCAGCTGCAGACCCTGTCTTCTATCGCCCAGCCCTCAGCGCAGCAGAAACAGCTGCTTGACAAGCTGCACCAGGTACGCCACCTACTGGTACTCCGTGTGCCTGGCGGAGCATGTCTCTATATACACCAATGTCTGTCCTTGATCCCGTGCCCTCCCAGGTCCAGCAGAACATTATTCTCCAATCAAAGCAGCAGACTCAAATGCAGCCTATCACCGCCAGTCAGTTTAGTGTAAAGCAGGAGGCCACACCCCCTCCGGTTGTGACATCATCAGGCAGCCAAAGTGGCCCCGCCCAGCTCGTGCCAGTGCTCCAGCAGGCATCGGTGCTTGTGAACACTCCGGTGTCGGGTGAGTCTCTCGCCGGCTCTGTGGGCCGGACCCTTCCTGCTTCTCACTCCCCCCACCAAGCGTTTGACGTAGAGCTCCTTTTCTCCGCAGGATCCAACGAAGTTAAAGTGTTCCTGGGAGGCCCGCCGGCTGTTGGGCCCGTGGCGACCAGCCTGGCGCAGCCGCTTCAGGTAGGCGACAGGCAGTCGGCTCTCTTTCCCGTGTCCCTGTGCCTTAGCCACGGATGATTGTCTAAAGTGTTCCCGCTGTTGCTTAGCCAAAGCAGGGCGTCGTGGCCTCCGTGGGAGCGATCCCGCTGGGGACGGGCAGCCTGCGCATCCAGGTCTGCGGCAGTGGGCTCACGCAGCTGAGCACGTCGCAGACGCTGCCGACCATCCAGACGCAGGTGGGTGTTGGCGGTTGGTGACGTGCCGGGTTGATGTCACTGGTGTCACACGACTTCTCATCATTTTGTCTGCCTCGTAGGCCTCTGCGTCCAAAATGCCTTTGGTCATGGAGCCAAGTAAAGAAGCCAGGTCAGTGTGTGTGTGTGTGCGTGTGTGTGTGTGTGTGTGTGTGTGTGACTGGCCATACCTGCCAACTGCCCCCCCCCCACACACACACTTACCCCGCCCCATACTTTCTGGCCCCCCAGGATGCTGGAGCAGCTCCGGAAGCAGCAGGGCTCAGTGCTGCACCCGGACTACGGCTCCCCGTTCCGCTCCTTTGAAGACACGCTGCTCAGGCTGCTCCCCTACCATCTCTACCAGGGTACCCCCTCGTCCCCTGAGGACTATCGCAAGGGTGAGCCCCTCCGCCCTCTGGCTGCCAGCCTCATTATTGCTCTGTCAGTGGTTCCAGACAGACGGCGTCAACCGTGCGTGTGTGTTTGTGTGTGATCCCATCCCTCACAGTGGACGAGGAGTTCGAAGGCATGTCCAACCAGGTGCTGAAGCGGACTCAGGCTATGCTGGACAAGTACCGGCTGTTGCTCTTTGAGGAGGCAAAGGTAGCGTGTTTGGCTAACCCCTCACCCTACCTCCTATCCCCAGTCTCATAACCCCCATTCCTCTCCCCTCACCAAACCCCACACTTGCACAGAGCCCCCACTCCTGTCTTTTTCGCTCGGCAGAGGCTGGGTCCGTCAGCTGAGATGGTCATGATTGACAGGATGTTCATTCAGGAGGAGAAGGTGGCTCTCAACCAGGACCGTTTGCTGGCTAAAGAAAGACCAGGTACGCTGCTGTGAACCCAGTAGACCCTGTAGGGCAAGGTTTCTCAACCCAGTCCTCGGGGACCACCAGACGGTCCACGTTTTTGCTCTCTCCCAATTGGCAGGGAATTGGGAGAGAGCAAAAACATGGACCGTCTGNCTCAACCCAGTCCTCGGGGACCACCAGACGGTCCACGTTTTTGCTCTCTCCCAATTGGCAGGGAATTGGGAGAGAGCAAAAACATGGACCGTCTGGTGGTCCCCGAGGACCGGGTTGAGAAACCCTGCTGTAGGGTACCTGTGGCTCGCCATATGTCTGGTAACTGCTTTGATTGTATGCAACCTTGTTACTTCTCCAGATGAGTATGTGGCCCAGATAGAGGGTGCTTCCACCAACAAACTGCCCCCCCCTCCGGCTGAAGCTGGGCCCACACGCCCTGGGCCATCTGCAGCAGCGGTACCCGCCACGCCGCCGGCCTCCTTCTCGGCTGCTACCCACCTGACGCCCACCAGAATGGTGATCAAGCAGGGAGGGGGCACCACCTCTGTCACCTGGTCGTCCAGCATCGCCCCGGCCCGGCCCGTTGCCGTGGCTGCCGACGATGACGCCCTGCCGGAGCGCAGCAGCAAGCCTCCGATCAAGACCTACGAGGCTCGTCGAAGGATCGGACTGAAACTGAAGATCAAACAGGAGGCGGGGCTTAGCAAGGTGGTCCACAACACAGCGCTGGACCCGGTGCACACCCCAACCCAAAGCCAGCCTTCACCATCGCCAAGGCAGCACCGGCAGTCCAGCTCAGCCCAGACCCCTCCCCCCACGCACACTGTTGCCCCTGCCTTGAGTGTTGCTGCAGCGACCAGCCCCTCACGGCGAGTAGTGGCGTCCTCTTCGTGTCCCTCGTCCTCCTTGTCCTCCACCCAGATGAACGGGACCCTGGAGCACCAGGGAGGCGCCGTGAAGAGGAGTCCCGCTACCACCAAGACGTCGCCGCAGATTACGTGCCGGCTGCCCTTGCGGAAAACATACAGAGAGAATGTCAGCCCCCGCCGGCGCCCTGGGGTGCCCGGAGGTGGAGTCAGCTCTCCCCAGCACCTCCCCATCTCACTGGCCCCACCTCCTGACTCCCAGAGCTCCTCCCCCACAGCCGACCGGACGGTGATAGCCAGCGTAAAGCTGGAGAAGCGCGCCCGCCGGAGCTCCCCCTGCCCACCAGCCTGGGCTGACACAGAGCCGGGGGTTGATGACCGGGAGCGGGGCGCCTCCCCGGGGCTAATTAAAGAGCTGGCTGAGGTGGAGGAGGTGTTTTACCGTGGGATGATAAAAAATGCCCACCGTCGCCGCTCAGAGGAGGAGGACGGCGAGGACAATGAGGACATGGGGAGGAAGGAGGAGCGTTCAGGTTCGGGCAGGTCTAGGCGGGGCAGCAGAAAGAGCCGGGAGAAGGGGGGCGGGTCCTCCAGGACGGACCGGCAGGTGCCCGGGTCGTCCTCACCTCCCACCGAGCCCTCCTGGGACTCTTCGCTTCCTGCCAAGCGTCGCCGGTCAGGTTCTCCGGACATGGACAATGCCAGTTTCTCCAGTGGCAGCCCACCACCCGACGACTCCCTCAAGGAGCACCTGCAGAGGGCGATCGACGGCATACTCAACCTCCAGCAGGGCGGCAGCAGAGCTCCTGGGGCCAGCAGAGCTCCTGGGGCCAGCAGAGCTCCTGGGGCCAGCAGAGCTCCGGGGGCCAGCAGAGCTCCGGGGGCCAGGGCTTATCCATCGCAGCGCTCCGGTGGACCTTCTTCGGGACCCCACAGACCTGCTGTACCCCTTTCCACGTCCCCTTCCCTTTCTGTATCCCAGCGCTCACCGCTAGGGGGCGCTGATGGACATAGTCATAACAGTAAATTGGTTTCAAGGACTAGCAGCAGATAGCATCCCCTAATTCAGGAATGGACTGAGACTGTTTTTCCTTTTTCCTGGGTGGGGGGGTGACTGATCTCTCAACCATCTACTCTTGGGTGTGCTGTGTTTGGAATTGTCCAGAAGATGACAACACTTTATTTTGCTTTATTTGAGGAGGACAGCTGCTTGTCATAATTCTAACCCAGTTCTTCACCAGTCACCAGTCCTGCTGGTGCCGTGGTGCTGTGAGTTACCCAGCTGTTGGTCTCACACTCCATACTTTCCCCCTACGTTGGCTTGTTGTCTCTTCCGTCCACCCCTATGTTCTTCTCTCTCAAGCCAGTACTCTCAGATGACCATAGAGAGGTACACTTCTGGTTTTTCCATCTTGGCAGATCCACTGCTGTGCCCTCACTTCGCTCTTCGTGCCCGCTGTCCTGTCCGGTACGTCCATGTGTGTCGAGAAGCCCCATGGGAACCAGAAGGCGGAGCCAGGAGGGAGTCATGGTTGTTGATGTATGAGTGCCTTCCTGTGGCCGTAGGACTGGTTTAAGCACCCAGCTCAGACAGCGTGAAGATGGACCCTCGACCTGAAACAGGCCTGACCATCCAGCTGCCTGATCTCAGGTCAGGCTTTCCCAGGTCCGGTCCTGGAGAGGCAGACTGCGACACGGTTTGCAGATTTACCTGCTCAAACACACCTACCAAACCTGCCAGTTGGCTGGTGAGTTGAGGTGTGTGTGAGTTAAGGTGTGTTTTAGCAGGGAAATCTGCAAACCGTGATGCCAACTGGCCTCCAGCACTGGAATTGGGGAACCCTGTCGTAGGGGTTACCCCAGTGTCCCTCTTTGTGATTTAACTCCCCCCATTCCACCAAACCTTGACAGTAATTGTCTGAATCCCTTTCAGAATGAATTGTGGTGCTCGGTGTCCTTTTAACCAGAACTGGTTTCTCTTTGTACACCAGGCTTTTATCTCCTGTGCATAGGCTGGTAGGAAGTACCCCCCCCCTCCACTGCTCTACCCAGAAAGTTAATGGGGTTGTTGCTATGGTAACACTCAGATCCTAAACAGACCCAATGCAACACTGTGGAATGAAGAATTATGTAAACACTGCTACGTTCGATCCCTTGTAGGACAGAATCGTGAGGGAGGTCCCCCATCGGAGGCATGAGTTTCCTGCTTTTTCCGTGCTGGTGTTTTGTCCCCCGGTGGTTATAAAAGTCAGGGTAGGTCACACACTTGTTAGCGGACTGCTGGTTAAACGGCAGAGAGCAGAGCAGACTCACGGATCCAAAGTAGACCACCATCAACGTGGCACCACAGTCACTGCTGCGCATTTCCACAGCCCGAAAGTCCAGCTGAAATTCGACACCTGTCATCTTCCAAGCTGACAGCAGGTGGCAGCACTGAGCGTGTTCTTTTTCATGAAAAAGAGTCTTCCTGTCAATGAAGGAGTGACTGAATGTGAATAATAAATTGTAGTTTATTTTACTACTGCTGAGGTCCAGTCATACAGAGGGACATTCTAAAAAAACTCCTTTGCTCAAAGGGACATTCGTGGTAAATTGACTTCTAGATACAAAGATGTCAACACAAGGAAGCCACAACAACAACACCATTAACTGCCACAACTCGATGTGGTTATGATAATCTTCCCATCTCTAGACAAGTTTATAAGCAAAAGGTATCTGTCGAGGAAAAAAAAAATTGGAAGTTAGTTTGTGATCTGCGTCATGCTGCTCTTTTCCTTACGGATGCGGGAAAAGATTCATACTTACCAGGCAGTGAAATAAAGCGCTCACTTTTTCATTCACAACCGTGAGACTGTAGCATCGTAAATAGGTCATGTTAACATGTACATGTTTCCTCAAGTTAGCCGCATTTTAAGTTTCCTTGTCTTTCAGACTCTTTGGACAATTAAACTCAAACACAGCACAAACAATGAATTAATACAAACTCAATATAAAAACATTTAAAAGTGTAAGAGATTTTCCAAATATAGTACTTCAGATTAATTTTGTACTGTATTTATTGTGTAAAATGAACATTTTTAAAAACTGTACATTTAGTAAAACTGTACATTAAACCCTTCTTCTTTTATAATGGAAACATGTCCCAGACATTTTACTGTGTTGCGTCTTGTGTGAGTAACCACATGAATAATGGAGACGGTTTCTTCTTCGAAGGCTGGCTGGTCGCGTCATCGCTGAGCGGGCACCAGGTGGCGCCCATGAGTTAACCAAGTGGGGTGTGGTCAAAGGGGTGTTGGGGAGTGAGAAGTCTCACAGTGACAGAGAAAAACGATTTGCTTTTCCCCCAGAAACGTGTGACAGTCATATGCATTGCCAGAGGTCTGGGAAATTGCTGCATACAGAAGGTGGAATAGAGGCTTTACTCTGACCTCCTATCTGTTTGCAAAGCGCTTTGACTCTGTACATAAGTCTCCGTCTCACACTGCTGGGTCCTCTGGGTCTCAGGGAAAGGGTCGGTGCTACATGCCCAACATCTGACTCCTCCTTGGGCATTAATTCTATCTGCCCCCCCCCTCTC